CTCCCAGGCCGAGCAGCCTGCGGGATGCGGGTGCCGCCCCCTGCCCGGCCTCCGAGGAGGTCCCCGCAGTCCTAGCCTCTTTCCTGGCTTTGTCCCTGAGCCCAGGCAGGAACTTCCTGCTGGAGAATTCCCGGATCCTCCCCGGAGCCGCGGCCTGGGAACCCGGGAGGCGGCACCCCAGCTCGGGCACCAGCCCCGACGCCCCGCTCCTGCCCCGCGCACCCCCACCCTGCAGACGCAAGGACACCGTTCACCCCAGGCCCCGGGCCGAGAGACCCTCTGAGGGTTCGGGGTCCAGGGCAGAGCAGGCTGCAGTCAGCACAGGGTCACTCAGGGCCGTGGTCTCCTCCACCTCACGGAGCAGGAGCTGGGGCGGAAAGAGGTGAAGCGAGATGCCCCAGCCTCCGGGACTCCCCCGCTTCCTCTGCACCCGGATCTTCCCAGCTACCCCCTGCAGAAACCATTGCCCTGGGCCCCCTTTCCCAGAGACCCCATGCCCAGCTCCAGCAACACTGAGCCGCCCCCTCCGTAGAGTGGGGGAACCCTCTCCCTCGGCTGGGGGCTCTGCAGGGCCCCGGGGTCAGACACCCTGGTGAGCCCTCCGAAACCCCTGTCCTAGACCCCCGAGGGGCTGCACTACCCCAGGACCCCAGCGTTCCCCAAAGTGGGGCTTCCTCTCAGCCCCGGGGTCCCTGGGGCAGAGGAGCCAGTGGGCACCACCCGGGTGCCACCCAGGCTCCCCAGGGCCCCGCCCCCTCCCAGGGACAGCAAGCTGGCTCAGCAGTTCTGGAGGGGCAGGGATGGACCTCGAGATCAGAGCCCCTCGAATGAAAACCCCAACATGGCCCCTGCCTGGAGTGGGGGCTCGCGGAGTTAGGGGTGAGGGACCAGGGCTCCTGTGACCCTGCCTGGGCCAGGTGAGGGCCACAAGGATGCCCCCAGGCCAGCAGCGGCTGACCCGGCCCTGACAGTCTCATGGGACTCGGCCCGTCTGTCCACCCCACCCCCTTCACAGGGAGGGAAACTGAGGCTCAGGCTCAGCCACCAGTGGAGTCCGTGCAGGAGCAGGAGCCCAACTGGAGACCGTGTCCCCTGGGCCCCAGCTCCAGCCCTCTGCAAACAACAGCCACTGCCAGGGACAGGATGGGAAGGAGGATGGAGGTGAACTGGAAGGCTGGGATTCGCTCCTGTCCTGGCCCCCGAGCCTGGCCCCGGGTGGCTGCGGCCGAGTGCCGGGAGCGAGTGTGACAAGAGGACAGGGAGATGCTGAGCAGGTGACCCCGGCCTCCATACACCCTGCATGGTGCCATGGCCGAGCCCCGGGAGGCACAGACTGCCCAGGGCAAGCGAGCGGCAGTTAGGTTTAAAACCGGGCATCACAGCTGGGATCGGAAGTTCAGGTCCAGGCTGAGTAACTTAGCGACTTGGCCAGACCCTGTCTCAGAAAAACAAACAAGCGGGGATTTGGCTCAGTGGCACTGCGCCTGCCTCAAAAACGAAAGGTCCTGAGTTCAATCCCTGGTACCAAAAACAAAAACCAAAAAACAAAACAGAGGGCAGGGAATGGCACAGAGCTTGGTTTGAAGCCTCTGGACTAAAACCCAAAACAACAAAAAACGGCATCAGGACTCTGGGTGGAGAAATGACTGATAGAGGGGTGTGTGTGTGTGTGTGTGTGCGCGCGCGTGTGTGCGCGCGTGCGTGTGTGCGCATGCCGGTGTCCTGACCAGAACTCGCAGGACTGAGAGGGAGGGTGCAGATCAGAGGGGAGCCCCGCCCAGCCCTGCCATCGCCCTGGGGACCCCACCAGCACCCACCAAACTGCCAGAGGCGTCTTCACCCCGACTCCCCAGCGCCTGCATGAAAGGGGCGGCTGCACTGTGGAGTCCCCTTTGGTCTCCTCTCTGATCCAGGCCCGGGGCTCCTTCACACCGCAAAGCCAAGTAGCTTCTGGGCCCTGCAGCTTGGCGACGGGGCTCGGGTCAAGGTCCGCCCAGCCCTCCCAGCTCTGAGAAGGACAGGGTTGGCGGATAACTGGTCACCAGTGGCCAGTGACTCAGTCAGTCCCGCTCGGAGTCTCCATAAAAGCAAAAGGAGCTGGCTGAGGCGGCACAGGCGGCATCAGGAGTGCCACAAGGTAGACACGTGATGGGTTGGCAAAGGGGAAACTGAGGCACTGTTCCTACATTCCCACGGCACGGGGAGGCAGGGGCACAGCCTCAAAACCTGTCAGAGACCCAAGGAACAGGACGGTGGCACCTGTTCCCCCAACCTCCTCCCATTAGCCAGGAGGCGTGGCAGGTTCCTGTCCTACCCCACCCTGCACTTTGGGAGGCTGAGGCAGGAGGGTTGTAAGTTGGAGCTCACCCTGGGCAACGAAGAGACTTAGTGAGAACTTGTCTCAAAATAAAGACTTAAAAAGGGCTGGGGGTGTAGCTCAGAGTGAAGGCCCCGGGTTCAGTCCCCAGTGCCGTGAACTCAGACAAAGAAACAAACTTGTCCCAGCTCTGAGACCTCTGCTCAACTCCAGCAAAGCCCTCTCTGCTTCTTTTCCCGCCCTTTCGTTCATCAGTTCTTGCTTGCTTGCTTTTGTTCTTTCCTTTACACAAGCTAAATTTTAAACATTTTATTTTGACAGAATCTTGCTAAGTTGCCTTAGGCGGCCTCAAACTTGCAATCCTCCTGCCTCAGCCTCCTGATAGCCCAGCTGCAGCCCTTCCTTCTGTTGCCCAGAGCTGCCCAGGTGCGCCACCTTCCCGGGAAGAGCTCCCGGGGCACCAGCCCTCCAGCCACTGCCTTGAGAGCTTGGATCAGCAGCACAAGTTACCTGCATCCAACCCCAGCTCTGCCCACCACCAGCTGTGTGACCTTGGGCACGTTATTAACCTCTCTGTGCTTGTCTTCCACACTGCAAGTGGAGATGCCAACCAACAGGACCCACCTTGCATCCTAAGGGGTATTTTAATTAAAGATGCTTCAAGGAGAGTCCGGCCCGAGAAATAGCTGCATAAATGCCGACGACAGTTTGTTTTATTTTGTTTGGCGCTAGCGACAGAACCCAGGACTTCACACCTGCTAAACACGACTTTTGCCATACGTTGTCGCCACCAGAATAACTGCTCTTCCTGTCTGGGAGAGGGGACCCTCAGGGCTGTCACAGCCGTGCAGACCGGGAAGGAAGGAGCAGGCAAGGAATTGGAAGGCGGTGTCCGGGTGGCCCCAGCCCTCCCACTTCGCGCCCCCCACGCCTAAGGGGCGAGGACCCCCATCGCACGTCCTCTGGCGCCACCTGGTGGCTGATGCTTATATTGCACCGCCGAGCCGCTCTCGGACACAGGTTCGGGGTGCGGGGCCCGCGGGGCTGGGGAGGGGGGGCTCCATCGGCAGGTGCGGAGAGCGGACCCCGAGGATGAACACGGTAAACAGGGAGGGGAGAGCAGCTCCCAAAAGGTCAAGAAAGGGCGCTGCTCCCACAGGCCCAAGCCAGGTACCGGCACCGGGCGGAGGAGGAGGCACCTGCCCCAGGCCTCCCCGCCCCACAGACCCAGGCGCGGGGTCGCCCACGCGGGGGCTGAGCCGAGGCCCGTGTGAAGGCGATGGGCACCGACCAGCTGGCGGCTGGAGGGAGGGGTCCAGGGCCTCAGAGGGCAGGGACCCGGGACGTGGCATCCCCAGCCCCCTTTTACTTTTTATTTTGAGATAGGATCTCACTGAGTTGCCCACACTGGACTTACACTGAGGATCCTCCTACCTCAGCCTCCCAGAATGCTAGGATTACAGGCGTGGGCCATGGTTCCTGGTGGGCCCTGTGCTCTTTACCCAGTGCCTACTGTGTGCCAGCCTCAGTTCCAGGCACTTGGTGAAGAGCATCTCAGCCAATCCTTCCAGCTGCCCCAAAGACAGGCACTATCTTATTCGCACTTGACAGATGAGGAAACTGAGGCAGAGAGGCGCAGCATGGTGGGGGTGGGATTCGAAGGAAGGCAGTCTGACTCCAGCTTTCCCTCAGATTGGGCCGTAGAGCAAGAGGGTCCATTTCTGCCCCCTGAGCCCTGCCACCTCAGGGGCCGGACAAAGCGGCCACAAGTTCTACAACAGTCAGCTGGGAGAAGCAGGGGACCCCAGATGTGGCACAGACCCCCCACTTCCTCTGGCTTCACTTCATGCGCCAGAGCCTCAGGATCTCCTTGGGGTTTGGGTCTGGGCCCCTATATCCCCACGCCAGGCATCTTGTGCCTTCTGCAGGGAGGTGGCACCCTGCTCCCCTAGAAGGGCACAGCCGGCTCCTCCACTCCCCTGCTCCCCACTGTGCTGCAGAAAAAGGAGGCAGGGAGGGCTGGGGATTTAGCTCAGTGGTTTCGCTGCCTGCTGTGCAAGCGCAAGGACCCGAGTTCGATCCCCAGTACCAAAAAAAATTTTAAAAAGGAGGCGGGGGAGTGGCTGAAACTGAGGCTGTGACCGAGACCCCGGGGCCCAGGACCAACACGCATGCACAGCTGGGACCCCAAAAGCCCTAGAAGACACTGCCCTGCCTTCGCCCCAGCTCACCGCCCGACTCAGGGCCCAGGCGCCTGCTGCAGGGTCTGGATTGCAGACTGAATCCCAGTTGAGTCCCCTCTCCCCGCCTCTGATTAGGGACCCACCCAGGCCTCCACTCTGTTTACCCGAGAAATGGGCCGCAGCCTCACCTCCGCCCAAGGGTTGTGACTGGGACCTCACATGATGGCGGTGGTGCCAGCGAGCAGGCAGGGGTTAAATTCGCAAACTGGGCTTTTCCTCAATCAGGACCAAGAGAAAGGTCAAGGTTAGGGTGGAACTGGGTGTGGTGTAATCCCAGCACTCTGGGAGGCTGAGGCAGGAGGATCACAAGTTCTGGGCCACTCTGTGCCATTCAGAGATTTAAAAAGACGTTGTCTCAAAAAGAGGAGGGTTCTGGGAATGTAGCTCAGTGGGAAGGCCCAGGGTTCAATCCCCAGTGGCCCCAGGAAAGGAAAGGAAAAAACACTAAAGATTGGAGCTCCGTAGGACCACAGTGAGGAGAGCAGGGCCTCGGAGGGGTGGGGGCTCAGGCCGGCCCACCCAACGCCCTGCAGCCCTCAGGCCTGGCATCCGCATCCGGCGGCTGTGAGCGACTTCCTCTAGAGGGAGCTGAGCACGGCTGGCCGCCGGCACCTCTAGGATCTCTGCAGCTTTGCGGGTCCCTGGCCCAGCACAGAGAGGCGGCATCCGGAGCCTGGAATGCTCTGGGAAGCTGGGCCTCAGCACCTGCCCAGGAGCTCGGACCCCAGCCCTGCTGAGCCACCTGGTCTGCCGGAGTCCCCACAGGTGAGTGCCAGAGCCCTCCAGTCCTCAGCCCTGGGTCATGGAGCCTGAGCCCCCCTCCCTCCCCCACAGCCGGCTGGGGAAGCTGTGCCCTGGGTGTCGGCCGCAGGGCGTGGGGACCCAGGGCCACCTCCGACATCGGCCTCTGCCCGGGCCTGGGTGCCAGGGAACCGGCCCCAGGGAATCTGGGGCACAGGAGCAGGGGTCAGAGCCAAGGTCGAGGGCAGGGGAGGGCTTTCCCATGCTGCCTGGGGCTGGGGTCACAGCCCCCGGGAGTGGGTGTCGTGGGCAGGACCCGGGAGGTGGGGACGGATGGAGGAGACACTGCAGATGGGGCGTCGGCCTAGGCCACCGGCTGGGGGGCCGTGGGGCGGGAGGAGGCTGGGGTGCCACCAGCATCTTGCGGCCGCTGTCCTAGTCCTAGGGCCACTGGATGTGGGGGACCAGGGAGGCGGGAGGAGCTGCTGGGGAGCGGGCGGCGGGGCTGTGGGGTGGTTCCTGGCAGTGCTGCAGGCGCCCGGGAAGAAGCGGGGCTCCGGAAGGGGTGCAAAGTGAAAGCGAAAGGCAGGCCTCAGGAAATGCTCCTCCGGGCTCCCGCTCGCACGGCCCGGCTGGGCAGAGGGGATAGCAGCGGGGTTGGAGGGCAGGTGTGGGGCGGCCTGGGAGCAGCCGGGCCTAGAGTGGGGACAGGACCCAGGTCCTCAAGCTGGCAAATGGGCGTCTTGGTGGGACCCAGCCCCCCGGCTGCCTGCGGGCCTGAGCCAGTGCCTCTTTCTACTTGCCTCAGTTTCCACCTGTGCAGTGGGTGTGACCAGGCACCACTGGAGTTCAGCCAGGCTAGGAAGCCAGGCGTGGTGGTGCACACCTGTAATCCCAGCATTCTGGAGGCTGAGGCAGGAGGATCGCCAGTTTGTGAGTTCAAGGCATGGCTGTGCTAGGTAGAGACCCTGAGACAAAAGACAATGCTGAGTGAGATGGCCCGCGCCTGTGATCAAAATGCCTGTAATCCCAGCATTCGGGAGGCTGAGGCAGGAGGGTTATGACTTTGAGGCCAATTTAGGGTACGTAACAAGACCCTGTCTCCAAAAACCTGGGGAGCTCCTGATGGCGGGAGTGTCCCAGACCCTCAGGAAGGGTTTGAGGCTAGCAGGCTGCACTGGAGAGCAGGTGTGCTCCAGCCAGCCGAGGGGAAGTGGCCTTCCCGGGCCATCACGGGTCATCCGCTGGAGGTGGAAGCTCAGCTCACGGCCGCAGGTGCCAGGAGGGCTGTCGGGGCCTGGGAGCCCCCAAGGCAGGGCTGGGCCTTGTCCTTCTGGGACCCAGACTGCCCGCTAGACAGGGCACCCCGCAGCCTGGCCCTGCTGCGCGTGGGGCCTCATGTTCGCATGGAGGCCTCTCCGGGGCCACCGAGGGGCTCCTGTGCAGCCCCGTCTCGCGTTCCCCACCTGCAGGCTGACACCGTCACTCGCTGAGACCTAAAGGATGGCATCCAACCAAGGCCCGGGTCCCCCCGGGGAGGGCTGCGAGGAGGGCCCCCCGCCGTCGGAAGCTGGTGAGGGTCCCCTGCCCTGCGGTCCCCTCCTGTGCCGCAGCCCAGCCCTGCTCCGCTGGGGCCTGGGAGAAGGGAGGAAGCCTGCGTTGCCTGGGGGTGGGGAGGAGGAGGAGGAGGAGGGAGCGGGGCAGGATCCTGGGCAGGGGCTGGGAGCTGGAGGGCAGGGCAGGGGCCGGTGGGCGTGGGAGGAAGGCGGGAAGGAGATGGACCCAGCCCAGGAGGAAGTAGCTGCTCTGGCGCCCGCAGGTTCCCGGAACAGGCGGCCCTTGTCATGACCCGGGAGGAAGTGAGGTGGCCGCCTCTGCCCGCTTCCCAGTGGGCACTCAGGGGCCCAGCTCCAGCGCCCTGCAGCTCCCTCTTCCCTGGCCTTGGGCTCCGGTCCCGGGTCTGTCGCTGTCCCTGGGTGACCATTCTGAGCCGAGACTACAGCTTCACAGTTTGTCTCCTACACCCTGAGGGCTGGGGCCCGAGTCCCGCCTGGGCTATGCCCTGGCCACGCCAGGCTGGCAGAACACCCCGCCGTGGGCACCAGGTGTCTGCTCGGGGCTTCTCTGCCTGTGGCGAGAACAGCGTTGGCCCCAAGGGAGCGAGATTTACCCATCAATCCCAGGTTGCTGGGTGCAGCCCTCCCTCGCTGACCCCAGGCTTTGACCCCAGAGCAGCAGGTGGCCCGGGACACCGAGGAGGTTTTCCAAAGCTACGTATACTACCGCCACCGGCAGGAGCAGGAGGCCGAGGGGGCAGTCACCCCCGCTGACCCCGAGATGGACACCCTGTCCCTAGAACCAAGCAGGTGAGCTTTGGTCTGGCCCCAGGGATGGCTGCAGGGGGCAGAGGCTCACGCAGGGTCCCTGTCCCTGGGGCCAGCGGTCACATCTGCAGGCGCTGTCCGGGACGCGCAAGGTGGGTGGGCACAGGGGGCCCCTCAGGTACACCCCAGCCTCCCCTACCCGGCTGCTCACCCGCCGCCTCCCGTCCCCAGCACCCTGGGCCAAGTGGGTCGGCGGCTTGCCATCATTGGGGATGACATCAACCGGCGCTACGACGCCGAGTTCCAGAACCTGCTGCAGCAGCTGCAGCCCACAGCCGAAAACGCCTATGACCTCTTCACCAGGATCGCCTCCAGGTACCACACCAGGCCACCTTGTCCTGTGTCCGGCACCACCTGCCATGCGCTGCCCTGTGACTCCTCTGACTCCTGTCTTCCTGGGCCTGTCTCCGGGTCAAACTCCCCTCCTCTGGGCTCCCGTGAGCTCTGACTCCGAGAACTCGCTGTTAGATCTGGGGTGAGGATGTCCGGATGCTGGGATGGCTTCCTGCCCAAGTACCTGGTTCCCAGCCCCACTTTGCCACCTGCTGCTGGGCCTCGAGGCCCGGATCTGTGAGGTGGGCGAAGCGCTTGGACGCGTGCAGACCCTCGAGGCCACTGCGTCTCCCCAAGTGAGGCAGGCAGGGCCAAGCCAGGTGTGCAGGTGGAGGAGAAGGCAGCAGTGGGTGACAGATTCAGTCTGTGCTCTGAGCTGAAATGTCCAGCCCGTCTGCAGAGGCCCCTCGTTGCCATGACTCGGGGACCCGTCCTAATCTCCTCTTCTGTCCTTTCCTCTCTGCTGTCTCTTGGGCTGCCAGGCCAGCAACATGCACAGGTAATCTCCCTGCCTGCTCTGCCCCCTGTGCCCTTTGCTCTGCAGCCTTGGGGACCACACCCCAGCAGCAGCACCCAGCTTGCTCGCCCTCTGAGCTCTCTCCTTTCTCAGATCCCTCAGCTCTTCCCACAGTGAGGCCAGGCTCGGCAGCCTCTGCAACCCTGATCCATAGCCCCGAGGGGAGGGGAGGGCTGGGGGGCAGGGTGCCGCTGGACTCTCCCTCGACTCACACTGTGCTCTGCCTGCAGGCTGTTTAAGACCGGCATCACCTGGGGCCGTGTGGTGGCTCTCCTGGGCTTTGGCTATCGCCTGGCCCTGCACGTCTACCAGCGTGGCCTGTCTGGCTTCCTGGGCAGGGTGACCAGGCTGGTGGTAGACTGCATGCTGCGCTACTGCATTGCCGGGTGGATCGCGCAGAGAGGCGGTTGGGTGAGTGCCCGAGATTGCACCCTGCAAGGTCCTCAGGGCTGCCCTGGTCCCCGGGCCGCCGGCTCCTTTGTGACTGCCAGTCTCTCTGGGCAGGTGGCGGCCCTGGACTTGGGCAACGGCCCCATCCGGAATGTGCTGCTAGTCCTGGCTGTGGTTCTGTTGGGGCAGTACGTGGTACGAAGGTTCTTCAAGTCATCGTGACTCCGGAGGGGGGGGCGCTCTGGGGTCCCAGCTAAGACCCCTGCCTGCATTTCAGCCCAGACTTCTCCCTCTCCTCTCCCCTGCAGGGCTCCCCCAACCCCAAGAGTACAGAAGCTTTAGCAAGTGGGCACTCCAGCATGAGGGGGTCCCTGCCTGGGGTCAGTCGGGCTGCACAGGAGCCCCAACATTGCATGGTGCTAACTGGGCCCTATCCTGTCAGGGGGCTGTAGCTTCCTCAGCTCTCCCGGACTCTCAGCCCTGCCTGCTGGGCAGTGGGGAGGTTGATACCTTGGAGACCAGAGGCTGGGGTCTGGTTCTTCCCAGGAAGCTTTTAATGGTTTTAGCTTTTTTATAATCCCCTTGGGAGAAACCCTCCATTCCCAGCACTCTGCCCAAGGTCAGGACATCCAAGGTGTAGGTCAGTGGGTCCACCCCTGTCTCCAGGACACAGCTGTTCCAGAAGGTCAGAGCCCTGTCTTGGGAGTCAGCACGGCTCCCGGAGGAAGGCTGGCTGGGATGGGGGCCTAGGTCCTGCTCCCTACCCGACACTGCCTTTGTGGTTGGGCTCTCAGGGATTCTGGGCTGGGCTTGGGGCGGGGCTGGGGTCCTGGTCAGGGTCAGGGTTGGAGCAGTCTTCATTGTCCATCAAGACCACCAATCCTGCCCCCCGCCCTAGTCCCCCACCCCCTCACCGAATAACCACTGGCTCCAACCCTCAGTGTGGGCGGAGGCCCTTGCCCCACTCCCTGGGAGCCCTCCTCACGGGCTTGCTGAGGCCCCTCTTTGACTGGCCTGCAGTACCCTGTTAAGGGACCTGGAGATGTCTCGGGGTAGGGGCCTCAGGCCTGAGCCTGGAGCTGGGTCCTCCCTGGTGGCCAGGGCACTGTGTAATCTGGGATGCAGCTGGGGAGACTGTGAATACTTGAACCCCACCGCACGCCGCCCTCCACGCTCCCGGCCTGCCGGGGCCCCTCTTGGAGGGGGTGGGAGGGCCTTCACTATCTTGCACAGTTAGGGACTGGGGGGTCCGGGGAAGAAGTTCTTGATGAAGCCAAATGCGTGGAGGGATTGCAGGTGGCGCCTGCTGGCCATCTACACCCCATCCTCTGATGGTGTTTGCAAATAAACCGTGCAATGCCCCCACTTCCGCCTGCCATGTTTGCGCCCCTGCTCCGTCATTCCCCATCGAGCCGGCCTGGAGAAGCTGCAGCACCTGGCTCACTGAGATCTCACCCTGGGCCCTTCTCCACACCCATCCCTCATTTCCTTGGGGATCCAGGCAGCTTTCCACCCCTTCAAGAAGTCGGGGGTCCCCTTGGCTGCGAGCTGGAGCAGCAGCACGTCTGAGGACCCCCACAGCCACCACCTCGAGCCTGGCCTGGATTCCTCTCCCTGGGGCTTCCGCCCACGCTGGCCCAAACGACTCTGCTCCCCCATACTTAGCTCTGCCCGGGACACGGTGTCCCAACTGCCCCTTACTGATGTCCCCACAGCCTCACACACACAGGGCTTTTTTCATTCTAGTTCGAGGCTGCAGGGGAGTCCCTATGGGGCGGCAGCCGGGGTGATAAAAATAACAAGCACGGGGGCGTGGAAACGTTCCCAAATCTACAGTCCTCCCAGGCCTGGGCGCCCGGGTGTGTGTTTCTGACCCCTTTCGAGTCCCCGAGGACCGTGTGCGGTCTCTGCCTCCCCTCATCCGGGTCTGCAGCAGTGCAGAGAGGAAAGGCGGGGCGAAGTTGGGTGGATGCTAGAGGACTCAATAATGTGCCAGAAGAGCTCAAAGACAGCATCCACGTGGTGCGTGCCAGGCTTGATGCCAAGACTTCATTTTCGCTGCCCAAGCGCCAGGTGCGGCGCCAGGATGCGAGCGTGCACGCCTGCGCCTGTGCGCGCTGCCAGCGAACGGCGGCCTCGCCTGAACCTCGCGGTACCAAAGGGCAGGGAGCTGGGACTCGCCACCGGCAGAAGGGCCCGAGGTCTTCGGTGCAGGCAGCAGGGGAGGCGAGAGCCGTTGGTCCCGCGAGCACAGTTTAGGGGACAGACTGCTGCCGGGTCGCCTTTTTTCCCTTTCGTGTAGAGCTGCTCGAGCTGAGGAAGACAAACGGAACAGGTCGCCCGAGTCAAAGATGGCCGTCGCTACTTCAAAAGCGCAAGCGTGCCCTTCTGTGGGCGGAGCCTCGGGCCCACCTCTGTCTCTCTCTGGGTTTTGAGGATGGCCGCCGCGGTGCGGGGCGCTGAGGGAAGGGTGTGTGGTTTCTGGCTGCAAGAAAGGTGGCTGGGTCACTGCAGCTGTGGTCATCTCTGATCCGCTGGGAAAGGAGTTGGGATGTTTCTCTGCACATCATTTATTTTTTAGTACTAGAGATTCAACCCAGGGTCTTCCCATTGAGCTACATCCCCAGCCCTTTTGTTTTTAAAATAATTTTTAATTTTAAAAATATTTATTTATTTTGGGGTGGTTTTTTTTGTTTGGTTTTGTTTTTTGGAAACAGGGTCTCAGTGTATATTCCAGGCTGGCTTTGAACTCACTATGTAGCCTCGGGTGACCTCAAACTCGCAGCAGTCTTCCTGGGACTACAGGAGTGAGCCACCACGCCTGGCTCCCCAGCCCTCGTCCTTCTGAGACGAAGGTCTCAATAAATTGGCTGAGTTGCCCGTCTAGGCTCGAGCCCGCCATCCTCCTGCCTCAGCCTCCCAGGTGCTTCCCTGGGTTGCCAAAGCCAGGGGGTGAGAAGTGGGGAGACAGAGTAAGCTACGGCGGTGGTGGGAAGCGCGGCGGCGCGGAGGACTCAGTCCTGCTTGCAACTTGTGCTGAAATCGAGGCTTGTTCTCCCCATAGAAGCCGGATTCCTCACAGCCTGCGGCCGCCGAGCTGAGCGCTGGGGAGGAGCGGCAGCTGTCGCCGCTCAGCTGTGCAGTTTGTGCGGTTTCGGTGTAAACGGCTGCCTTCCCAGCGGCCTCAGTCTCCCCGCCCCACCCTGCGGTCTCACTTTCCAGTATTTGATTTACCTCGCTGAAGAAAGTGCACTTTAGGTCACTGGGCGTCCCCGCTAAGCCTGTACTTCAAAAAGGGGCGGGGGGGGGAGCCTTTCTTCACCTAAAAGCACTCAGCAGGTTGTTTGAACAAGTTTCTGCGACCAAACCATCTGGCAAGCATCTCATAAATTAAAATGAACTTCCTGCTTCATTAAAATTAATGCAGACACCATATCCTGTTCCAGTTGCACGCGCTTTAAAGGTAGAGGCCGCGGACCCCAGACGCTCGAAAACCGCAGCTGATTCAGCGCGAGAAGAGCCGTCGGCCCTCATTCTGCGCGTGCGTGCGAGCGGGCGCCTGGGGACCCTGCCCCGCAGTCACTGCACAGACCCCGCGACCTGGCCACACGGAGACTGCCCAGCCCCCGGGCAGCTTCTCCGGTTGATTTCCGGTGGGCGATTGGGTTGTTGGGGACGGTAAAGCGCGCCTGTAACCCCAGCACTCTGGGAGGCTGAGACAGGAGGATCCTAGGTTAAAGCCCAGCCTGGTCAACTTAGCGACTTAGGTGGGCTCTGTCCCAAAATAAATAATAAAGGCTGGGGGCCCCGCTCAGTGTGAAGGCCCTGGCTCTGTCTCTAGTACAGACATACACGCACACCAACTTGAAAGGCTGGCGGGTGGAGCTCCCTGTGGTAGGCCCGCGAGTGTTAGGGCTCAGCTGCCGGACCTGGGCCTTGGACCCACCCCGGGCAGCCTGAGCGGCGGGAGCAGCCCCTCCAGGCCTGGTGAGCAGAGGGGCTCGGCAGGGGACGGACTGGCCAGGGACCCCCAGCCCCTTCGCGGGGGGGGCTGCTCTCCCGGGACAGCCCGTGCCACGCAGCCCCGAGTCCCCTGGCCAGGCGCTCCCTGGCCCCCAAAGAAAGATGGGGGACGGCAGGAAGGGCCTCCCTGCGCCTGGTACCCGGGGCACCCACAGACTCCCACTGTGACCGCTCCCCCACCCCTACTGGGGACTGGACCCTGGCCTTTGCGCTGAGCTCCGTCCCCAGCCCCTTTATTTATTTGGAGACCCCAAAGCTCAGGGTTCATTTTTTTGTTACTTTTTTATTTCTATTATTACATTGCTTGTAGTACATAATGATGGGGAATTAGCACATGTACGTAATACATCTCAGTTCTTTTTTTCTTTCCCTTCTACCTTCTCTTCTGTTTTGCCAGCATCACATTTATTTATTTATCTTATTCCCCAGCCCTTTTTGAGTTTGGTTTTTTTGGGTTTTTTTGGTACTGGGGATCGAACTCGGGACCTTTTGCTTTCGAGGCAAACCGCTGAGCTAAATCCCCGACCCTCCAAGCCCTTTTAAATTAAATTATTTATTTATTTATTGTTGTTGTTGTTGTTTGAAACAGAGTCTCACTATGAAGCCCAGGCTGGCCTCAAACTTGTGATTGCCCTCCTGCCTCAGCCTCCCAAATGCTGGGACCACAGGCATGCAACCACCACACCCAGCCTTTAAAAAAAAAAAATTGTTTTTCAAAATAGGATCTCTGAATTCCCCAGGCCGGACTCAAACATGAGATTCTCCTGCCTCTGCCTCCCAGACTGGTCAGATGATAGGCATGCACCACCACACTTGGCTATTTTCTTGCTGTTAGCTTCTGAAACTTTATTTTTAATGTATACATTCCACAAACAGAAAGCCTCTAACCCCACACACAATCCCATAACCAGATGTTTCAATTTTATCAACACTCTTCAACTATTTACACTGTCTTCCCTCAACAAAAGTGCAATCCAAGACATCTTGACAAGAAATCTTTACCAATAACAATATATTTTTGAGCTGGTGTGAATGGTGCCCGTCCATTTTATTTTTTTTCAATCACCTGGAACAACAATGAAGCCAACTGGACATGGAAATGAACTGGGTTAGGCAGCACCCTATGTAAGACCCAAAACCCTAAAGGGCACTTGCTTCTCGCCTCTTCTCCAACCTCCAACCAAAATTACTCAGGAGACTGAACCCTAAATCAGACTGGGGTTACTCACCTGGGCACAAGTGAACAGGCTGCATAGTTAGATACTGGTCTGGCAGTACAAATGCAGAGATTTCAGCATGTTATGTTTGTTAGCACTTTGCTATCTTTTAAAATGGGGATCTGGCTATTTTGCCCAGGCTGGTTTTGAACTAGTGAGCTCAAGTGATCCTCCTGCCTCAGCCTCCTGAGTGGCTGGGACTACAGGTGTATACCACCAGGATTTTTTTTCCCTTGCAGTTCTGGGTTTGAAACCCAGGGCCCTGTGTGTGCTAAGCAAACCGGTTCAGAGCTCTATCCCAGCCAGAATGCACGTGTCCTTTGCTCCGGGGAGGGCCCTTTCTGCAATCCAGTCACCCCTGCCAAACGGGTGTCACAAACATGGTCTTCCTCCCCACTTAGAGATCTGGGAAAAGCTGGGTGTGGTGGCACACACTTAGGATCTCAGTACTTGGTAGGCTGCGGCAGGAGGATCAGCACAAGTTTGAGGCCAGCCTGGACTACATAGTGAGACCCTGTTTCAAAAAAACAAAACCAAAAGATCCATAGGCTCTACACACCCCCCACTTGGCCCCTCCCTGCAGGCCCTGTGGAAGCAGGTTCCTTGGAAGCAGAGGGGCCCAGGGGTGGGAGGTGCAGCTGGCCCGGCCCAGGTGACCAGGAGACCTCGGAGGAGAGGACACAGCCATTCCCTTGAACAAACTCACTTCAGGCAGGTGCTCAGGGCTTTCTCTCTCGTTTTCTTTTTTTCAGTACTGGGGGTTGAACCCAGGGCCATCTCGAGCTGTATCCCCAGCCCTTTTTCTATTTCAAGACAGAGTCTAACAAAGTTGCCCATATGGTATTCAGACTTTCCATCTTCCTGCCTCAGCCTCCTAAGGTGGCACTGCAGGTGTGCACCACCACGGCCAGCTAAGACTCTGTTCGTTTTGCCTTGTTTTGTTTTGGGGGCCAGATGTGGTGGTGCACCCCTGTAATCCCACTGGTCTAGGAGGCTGAGGCAGGAGGATCAAAAATTCAAGCCAAGCCTGGACAACTCAGTGATTTCACAAGACCCTGTCTCAAAAAAAAAGGAAGCAGCAGCTAGGGGTGCAGCTCAGTGTGAAGGCTCTGGACTCAATTCCCA